CTGCGGCCCCCGCACCCACCTCCCTGCCCGCCCTGCCCTGCGGCCCCCGCACCCACCTCTCTGCCCGCCCTGCCCTGCGGCCCCCGCACCCACCTCTCTCTGGGCTTCTGGTCCAGCGGCGGTGGCTCTGGAGGCGGGGCCGCTTCTGCCCCGAGTGGCCGAGGAGAAGCCCGAGGGTCCCCAGCGGCTCCTGAAGAGGCAACACCGGCCTGGCAGCGGCGCCCTCTCCCGGGACGCGCAGGAGCCGCCCCCGATGAGTGGGTGACATCAGGGCGCCAGGGACCCGCGTGGTCCTGGAGAGGAGCCTGCCCCAGGCCCTGGAGGACCCGCAGCCCTGGTTCTGCCCGCACAGACCCTCAGCTCGGTGGTTCCGGGAGAACCCCTTCCGGGGGAGGAGGTGAACCTCGTTGGGAAGATGGGAGACACCTGACTCCCTCCGCTCACCTCCGCGGGCTGCGGCCCAGGTGGGGCCGGGCGAGTCTCTTCCAAAGGCTCACCCTCAAGCACCACCAGGAGCCCGTGGCGCCCAGAGGCCTTCGAGGGGCCCCTCTGCGTCCCCCCGGGGTCTGGCTTCTGCCTGAGCCTCTCCCTGCAGCCTCTAGGCGGCCTTTTAGCCTTTGGAGTCTTCTCCCGCGCAGTGGACCAAATGGAAGCAAGAGAGCTTTTTGCAGCAAAAATTAAAAACGTAAATCCTTCCTGCTGTTTCCGTCCATCCTGACCTGTCATCTTGTGGCTCTTACCCAGTCCTCATGCGTCCCCGTATCACAAGACCCTCCTAAAACCAAGCTTCCGTTCTCAATACATCTGTGTGTGTTATTCCCTGCCAGTGGATGATAGTTCGCTGTGTATAAAATTCAAGCATGGGAGCCCCCTACTGGGGATCAAGCCCGCAACCTGGGCACGTGCCCTTGGCCGGAATCAAACCTGGGACCTGCAGGCCGCAGGCCGACGCTCTATCCACTGAGCCAAACCAGCTAGGGCTGGTTGTCCATCTTGAGAGCGATCCAGAGATATAATGTGGAGACGTGGAAAACAAGGCAGCATTTAGAAGCAGGATCATCCATCTTAAAGACACTGAGCTTAGTTGAAGAAGGAAGAGGAGGAAGAGGAGGAGGAAGAGGAGGAGGAGGAGGAGGAGAAGGTGGAGGCCGGGTTGAGGG